GAGCAAAGTCTTTCAAAGCTGTGTTACTCGTGAAAAGAAGGCAAGGGTTCATGACTAATAGGATCTGTCTCAGAATGAAAAGAGCATTTAACCTGACTTCTGTGTTATCAGGTTTTTGTCTAAATAGAACTCATCTGTTTATGGATTTCAGATAAAATATTAAACCAAATCAAAAGCAGCATGTAGTTTAAATTTAGACTGCTCATTAAGGAACACATGACCCTTTGTTATGTTGTACAAATTAATGCTTGCTATACATGTCTTACAAATGTTTTTTGAAGACATTTTTAATCTGATTTCTCATTTTGCAAACTAAATTTGCGAATATTCTGTAGTTGGGTGGGATTTCCCTGAGAAACTACACCGGAGTTAGGAACAAAAAGACATGCTTTTAGGTTTTACTGTCCCTGTCAAAATCTTTCCATGGCCATAGTAAAAATTGGAAATTGGTGGAAGAGTCTTGCTGCTTCTCTTCCTCAATATCCTCCCTTTTCTTCACAGTCTAGCATCTCTTCCTGCTGGGAAAGCTGGAAAACACTGGTATGAGATCAATCACAGGGTTGCAGGTGTCCACTGTGCAGCCTGTCAGCAGCATGGATACCTTCCTGCATTGAGACCCAGAAATCGTGTCTCCTATGTTGGACTCTGTGGCTGCAGTTCTGTTGCTATACTAACCGATGGAGAAGTTATTTTAAATGTTTAGGGACTTGCTTGCAACCAAGGCAAGGGAAGATCTTGCTTTATGTTGCTGAATGTATCTATGGTAAACTGTAATTCAAAAACTTCAGATCTATTTATCATGGGAGTGAAGACCATTCTATTTTATACTTGAAAAATACCTAATATAAATTCACTGGTTGAATTATACTGCTGTTACCAAACCTTACCTTAGGTTTTTATCCATTTTTCAGAAAGAAAAGTTTACTAGTGCAGCTGATGAAGCAGAAAATGTTCAACAAACTATGCAAGGTATGTCTTCTACTAAACTAAACAAAGAACTAAAAAGCTGCAGAAAAAAAATACTTCAAAATAAAGGGTTTTTTTCCATGTACTTTCAAATTTACACCTGGTGGTACAGCAGTTTCAGCAGCTATGGAAAGGACAGAATTACTTGCAGCCTCTCTGAGGTTTTACTTCCTTTACTTTACTTTACAGAATTACTTCCAAACCTCTAAGAGTAATATACCTTGCAAGTAGGTGGAACCGTCTGCCTCTAAGTAGTTAGTAACTGTTTTCAAAATTTTACTTGCATAGAAACGATAAAAAAACTACACGAAAAAGAAGAGCAGTTTGCACTGATGTCTTCAGAATTGGAACAGCTGAAGTCTAGTTTGACTGGTAAGGAAGTAATAAAATGGAATGTTTTAAAAATGCATCAGCTTTGTGCTTTCGTATGCCTCCTGCTCAGCTCACCACATCATAGTATATAATGCTTTCTCAAATGCATAACCTTCAAAAGAAAGCCTTTTTTCTAGCAGAAAACAGCTTTTGTGGCACTGTGTATAGTGACCCAGCAAGGTGATGATAATGTTACGGAAATAGTGCAGTAAGGCAGAAGACTTCCTATCTGAATGTATTCCAAATCAATAGTTAAATTCTTGTTTGGCGTTGCAACAAAATCATGCTGTGATGGTGGTCAGGTACTCGATAAAGGCTTGAGGACCAGACTGAAGCATTACAAACGTAAGATAGTTAATTCACAGGAGCCTTATCCATAAGTAGTGTTTTCTTTTAAGGACATCAAAAAGACTGTACATTAGTCTGATTGTCTCCTCCTTCCTGTCTCATAGGAAGGAGTCTTGCTGTATTTTTCTAGTTGTACATCTTAATTTAAAACCAATGTAGAAAGAAAGTAAGAATGATTATGTACCCCATAAGTGAGCCTTTCAAGGCATTGTTGGGACTGTAGTGGTCATCCCAAGTCTTGCTACTTGGTGGCAGTGCCTGCCCTGGACTAAGTAATTTTTTCACTGTGGCTTCATGTTATATAATCATAGAATAGTTTGGTTGGAAGGGACCTTAAAGATCATCCAGTTCCAATCCCCCTGCCATGGTCAGGGACACCTCCCACCAGACCAGGTTGCTCAAAGCCCCATCCAACCTGGCCTTGAACACTTCCAGGGATGGGGCATCCACAGCTTCTCTGGGCAACCTGTGCCAGTGCCTCACCACCCTCACCATGGAAGATTTCTTCCTAATATCTCATCTAAACCTTCCCTCTTCCAGTTTGAAGCCATTGCCCCTTGTCCTATCACTCCATGTTGCTTGCATTGTTTGTCTTCCGGCTGATCTACTAAATAGCTGGTGAGTTGTCTCACCTGTAAGATGTGCTTATTTCTCTTATTATATTGCTTGATTACTCTCTGATACAGGTAGAATTCGTATCCACTTCTCATGGGCTGCAGTTAAGTGTAACGCTTCCAAAAGAAAGATTACTTGACTAGTTGCTTTTTTACCATTTCTGAAGAATTCTTAACCTTTTGCTACAGTTAACAGTTCAAAGTTCAAACAGTCGTAATTTTTAATTTTAAAGGGGTAATATGCAAGGTCTGTAGCATCAATATTGCTCTGTTTATAGTTCTTTACTATCTTCTAGCTAGTCTGTGCGTACCCTTTCTCTCAAATTTGCTAGACTAACAACCTTTGTCTTCCTCAGTGATGGAGAAGAAATTGAAGGAGCGAGAAGAGAGAGAACAGCAACTGATTGAAGCTAAAGCCAAACTTGAAAATGATATTGCAGAGATCATGAAGTCTTCAGGAGACAGCTCTGCCCAGCTTATGAAAATGAATGATGAGCTCCGGTTAAAAGAAAGGTATTCCATCATTGTCAGAACATTTTCACATTAATTCTTTACTCCGGCACTCCCAGCTTCTCGTTTTATCTTTTTGTAAATATCTGAACAAGATGCTCCTGAGTGTCACATTGATATCACAAGTGAACTTATTCTATCAAACTAAATTAATCAAAGCAGTCTCCTCAGAGTGATTTGAAGAGCATCTAACATTTATCATTCTAAAATTCTTGTGTAACGTGCTTCTTATTGCCCAGAGTAAATGACCTTTTTAAAAATCTAGACTGTTTTGTGATTGTGCTTCATAATTATTTGATTACCTGATAAGCTTGGTTTATTTGCATATATAAAAGACTTTGGTCACATTTTTTTGTCTAGCAAGAGAAAATGTGTTTTGTTTCAAATAAAAATTGTATGTGGAGTAGTTGTTCTTTACTTTTACAAAACACTGGACTGGGGGCAAAGTAACTGGCAGCTGTGTTGCTCTGCACACCAGCAAGTGCTCAGTCTCACTTGTGTATATTTAATTTAGCAGAACATTCTCTGTATGTTAAATAATAAAATCTCTTTCTAAATGCTTGAACAGAATATAGACCTTCAGCATAATTTAGAGTCTTTCATTTCTGTGCTTGTCGTGCTGTCAGCAAAAGTAATGTTCTTTTATTTGGTCTTTCTAGGCAGTTGGAGCAAATACAACTTGAGCTTACAAAAGCAAATGAAAAGGCTGTTCAGCTTCAGAAAAATGTGGAGCAGACAACACATAAAGCTGAGCAGAGTCAGCAAGAAACTCTCAAGATTCATCAAGCAGAACTGAAAAATATGCAGGATCAACTGACGGACATGGTAAGAACAACTTTAAAAAGCACTAGCTAACTATGTGCAGAATATTGTACCACTGCTGCCTTAACTGTATTCCAACTGTTTTATCTCCTATCAGAAAAAGCAAATTGAGACTAGCCAAAATGAGTGTAAGGATCTTCAGGCAAAGCATGAAAAGGAAACTTCTGAGATGATTGCTAAACATGATGCAGATATCAAAGGGCTTAAGCAGAACTTGCTGGATGCAGAAGAGGCACTGAAAATTGCACAAAAGAAAAATGATGAATTAGAAACAGAGGCTGAGGAGCTGAAAAAGCAAGCAGAACAGGCCAAAGTATGTATGCTTTGTTACTCCACAAGTAATTTAAACTTTAAATCTTTCTGTTTCAGTGAGTCACTGTTTTTTGCCTGGCTTCACCGTTTCATAGAAAGATTCTTGAAGTGTTTCTTTTTTGAACTTTTTCAGGGTAGATTAATATTGGTTAGGGAAGAGAAGCATATGTGACTGGCTGTCTTCTCTAGGTTACACAAGAATCCATGAAATATGGTTCTTTGATGTTCACGTTTTATGTTCATAGATAACTGGCTCAGCACAATCAGTTAGAGCCAAATGTTACTCTTTGTTTTTTAAATGCATGAATTTTTAAATATGTTGTGGACTATTTCATTTAGAAGTGTTACACACCTGAAGTTTTGCTCTGTAGTATGATCCCATATTATGTGCAACTGTTTAGTATGTAGCTTGACTTTAGTAATTTTTTTCCTCCTGTTTCTTTGCTTTCATCCCTCATCAAATTATTTGCTATAATCTTTGGTTTGTGCTTTAGCAAAATATTTAGTGTATAAATTGGCACACAAGTTAACTTTAAATACACCCCTGATGTGGTGTTTTGAATTAACAGGTTATGACAATCTATTTTTGACAGAATCATGAGGAGAATTGTCTATAGAAGGTGAAATTCAGAATTGGAAATCAGTATATAATATAACTTCCTGCATTTTAATTCACTTAGCTCTTCTTTCTGAGTAATTTACATTCAGAAAATTTTAAAAACAAGATGAAATCTTGTATGGAGGAACTTTCAAACCATGATTTTTTTAAATTTTTTTTTTATTTAACCACTTGAAAGTTTTCTTGTGGATGACGGGTGTTTTGTAATGAAATATCAGGGGTGGCTGTCAACAGTTGAGTTTGCATAGGGACTGCGTGTCAGTTTATACATTTTTATAAAACTTAAATTACAATAGCTCTATTTGCCCTTAAACCACATTTCTCATTTGTCTGCTTGACTTCATTTTTGTTTTTCCTTCTCCTTGGCTTTATTTCATCAGTCCTTAAGCTCTGTGTTAACATCAGCCAGAAAAGAAATTGAACTAATGTCAGACAAGATGAGGGATTTGATATCAGAAAAAGAGACTTTGATACAGGAGAGGAATACTTTAAAATTAGAGAGAGATTCCTTGTTATCAAAACTTACAGAATTGGAATCAAAGATTTTGTTAATGCAACAAGACCAAGAAGAACTTTGGACAATAAATGAAGAACTTAATTCAGAAAATAAAAAAATCCTAAAGGAGAAGGAAGAAGCTGAGGCCAAAAGCCAGCAGGAAAGCACAGAAAAGGTAGCACTAATTTCTGCAAAAACCAAATTACTCTCTGAAATAGAGGCAGCACAGGCAGACCTTCTGAAGATAACTCAAGAAAATGATGCTCTCCGGTCTTCAGAGTCAACCTTGCTCCAACAGTTGAAAGAACTTCAGGCCAACAAAGATGCCATGGATGTGGTGTGTCAGAAACATATCAAGGAACGGGAAGAACTGGAGAATTATCGGAAGAAACTTTTGGAAGAGAAAGATACAATTGTTAAAGACAAAGATGATGTTATTCAGAAGCTGGAAAGTTTGTGTGAGGCCCTGGCCAGAGATCAAAGAGAGCTACTGCAAGAAGTGTCAACTCTGACTGCAGAGAGAGATTCAGCCCTAGGTGAACACTCGGATCTTAAAAATACCCATATAGCCTTAAAAAATGAAATGAACAGTCTATTGCAGACAAGTCAGAGTCTGCAGTTCGAGAAGGAGATGCTCCTTAAAAGCATAGAAGAGCTGCGTTTGAGTTTAGACAATACGGTTAGTGAAAACCAAGCATTAAAAGTGAGAGTGGCAGAGATGCAAACGGAACTAGAGACTGAACATCAGGAACTTCAAAAAGTGATGAAAGACAATATAGAGTTGAAGGATTCCCTTGCTAGTCTCTCTCGTCTTCTTGAGGAAATTAAAGCCTCAAGAGAGAGATCCAATTCTGAACGTATTCAGTTACTTCAAGAGAAAGAGGCTCTCTCTTCATCAGAACGAAGGCTTTTGGCTGAAAGGGAGGAACTTTTCAATGAAAATAAGACAATTACTGAAAAGCTTGCTAAGGCCACAGCAGATGCCATACTTGCTGAGAGAGTCTTTACTGAGAAAATAAACGAACTGAACTTAGAAAAGGAATCTGCTTTTGCTAAGTCCTTGCAATTTGAAAAGCACAATGAAGCTCTTCTCCAAGAGAAGAATGAATTGGAGAACAAATATTTAAAGCTTCTTGATGAAAACAAGTCTTCTGCAAATGCAATTTCTGATATGAAGAGAGAACATGAACTGGATGTCTCAGCCAAGAGAGCTCTGGCCCAAGAGAACACTGTGCTCCAAGGTTCCATTCAAGCTCTCAAGGAAGAACTAAGTAAGAAGACTCTAGAAAATCAAGAGCTAATGGCCTGTAAGTGTGACCTTTCAGATCTTCTGAAAGAGGCCCAGGATGCCAAAAGCACATTAGAAAACGAACTGGCTGCTGTATCACATGCCAAGCAGGTCCTGTCATCTTCATTCGAGACCTGTTCCTCTGACAGGGAAATGCTGACCAGAGAGAGGGCTGAATTGCAACATAAGTGGCAGAAATTAAATGGAGAGGTTGCGATTATGAAAGAAAACTTAACCATAGAAACCGAAGCTAGAAAACTGGAAAAGGAATCCTTTTTCTTGGAACGTATGGAGCTTCAAAGCAACATCAGCTTCCTAGAGAAGGAGATAGAAGAGCTGAGAGAGAAAAATAAAGAATTCCTGACTGAGAAAGAACTTCTAGTTCAGGAGAAAGAAAAATCTGCAACTAAACTGGCGGAAATAATTAAAGAAAAAGAAACCCTCTGTGCAGAGACAGAGCAGCTTGCTACCAGTGTCAAACGACTGAAGAGTGACTTTGCTTCCTTGTCTCAATCAAAAGCAGAGCTCCAGGACTCGCACAGCTGTGTCTCTGAGAGGCTGGATGATCTTCGACACAGGCATGAGGTGGCGGAGAAGGAGAGAATAAGGTTACTTCAGGAAAACGACAGCCTGCTTGCTGAACAGAAGAGTCTGGTTATCTTTAAGGAAGAAATACTAAAAGAGAAGGAGAAATTCTCCAAGGATTATGATAAACTGCACGAGGAAGTAGCACTTTTAGAAGAAACTAATAGTGACCTCTCAGGCAAATTGCTGGTCTCTCAGGGCAAAAATCAGATGCTGCAGGAGGAGATGAACAATCTGGCTTTGAAACTAAAAGAAATTGAGACTCTCCAGGCCCAAACAGTAGCGCAAAAAATTGAGGTATTGAAACACACAGTTAAACAGTCAAGTACAGTTATACTAATACTGAGCACTAACCCGATGGTTTCCTCTCTGCACTTCATTGCACAATCAGCACTTCATCTCAGTAGAAACAGGCTGCAGTCATGGTCTCTCTCAATATATTACTTTGGGTTTTTTTCCAAGTTATAACTGTGAGTCTGAAAGACACTTTAGTATTTTTAAAAAATACTTCTAAATACAAAAGCCTATGTTGTCGCTGAATGTTGCAAGAAAACAACGTGAACTGTGAATAAAAGGAAGTTTTTGTTTTCTGAATTTGGTAGGAGAAACTGAGCAGCTCCTTCTGTTGAAGTACTCTGCAGCTTAAAAGCTAGAGTAGTAATAGATAAGGTTTTGGATTAGATCTTTGTGCAATTTTCTGTTAAATTAAAACAAACTATAAATTCGAGTTAAAAAAAAAAACAAAACAACATACTGCTCCTGTAAATGTAAATGGATAAAAGGCAGTGTAAGAGAACCATTTAAATTTACATTATAGGACTTTCAGTTTGTTAAAGACATTGACAGTTCTGGTGTTCTTTTTATTCACAGAAGTGTTTGGTATTCACCACCAACAAATTCTGTAAAGTATTTTGAATTTCAGTTTGTGTGGCTTGAAGCCTGTAAAATCACTTTGAATGCAAATTGTAGTCAAGATATCCTATAGGAATGTATTATGCCTACTTAGGTACTATAATATTATGAGGGCATGATGAACAACACTAAAATAATGCCATAATTGGCTTTATCTCCTATTTAATTTTTAATTCTTTTTCAGATTTTTAACAGATTTTAATAATTGCACATTTTCTGAAAGTAGAGCAGTCTGTTGGAAGTGAATATCTGTTGAACTACTACTGTCTAAAGTGGTTAGAAGTCTAAGAGCAATCACAGTGGTGGTAATTAGAAATCCAGGAATTAAAAAAGAAGTGGGCTTCCTCGGTGGTGACACAAGCATGGGGTTATGATCTATTTCTGCATGGAATTGATGGAATTGAATCTTTTCATGTCTGTTTATTTTTATACTTTATGCAGCTTCAAAATGCAAATAGATTCCCAGTTGAAGTCCTTGTTTAATTGGAAAGCAGTTGGCAAACCATGGAGCTGTGCGTAAAGTATTGTGGTTCATCTTTTGCTTTCAGAGGTCCCTTTGGTAATACTTTTTCTTTTTTTCCCCCCACTCCCCTTTATATACAGGCTACCAAAATGGCAGAAGATGTTTTCCAGACTGTGGAGAAGGTGACCAAAGAGAAGGATGCCATTCACAAAGAAAAGATTGAAACTTTGGCCTCCTTGGAGAACTCTAGACAGACAAACGAGAAGCTACAGAATGAAGTAATCACTTTTAAATGCTTATATATAAAAAGTTTTCCCTGTTTATAACGGAATAACTATTGAATTACAGAGAATTAGATTGGGTGGGAGTGGATGCTGTTGTTTTCCCACCACAATACTCAGTCTTGACTGGCTTGTGAAAACTTACTAGATGCGTGCCTATTGATGGAAAATCTAGGTGCTTTATATAGCCATGTGACTAATGTTCTTTTGTAGTTTGCATGTGGCGTCAAATACTGTACAGCATATAAGGTAGTGTCCTTTAAATCTTGGTGCAGCAACAAAAAAATTTAGCTTATGTAATAGGAGTTCTGGATGCTACAGGAGCTCCTGCAGATCACAGAAGCAAGAGACCTGGGTTTGACTTGAGGCTTAATCAGTCTTGCTGTATAGCTCTGGATAAATTGCTTAGATGTCACTGCTGTGTGTTTCAGTTCCCTGGTTGTAAGGAAGCGGTGCAACTTCACCTTCCGATGCAGTGCTGCAGAGCTCTGAGTAACAGTGATCCTAATCCACAAAAGTTACGGCTCCATTTCTCACCTATAATGCGCTCCTTCCTCTGTACATCCTCCTTGTGATCTTGACATGTGTAATTTTACCATTTCTTCTTTTTCTCACTTTTCTGTGAATCAGAACTGTGATCTAACAAGGTACAAATTCTACTGAGCTATGCAGTAATCAAATACACAAGCACAATGGTCCCCAAGAACTGTGCGGTCCAACATACACAACAGTTCCTCTAGGGACCTGTTTTCAGTCTATGTCCTCACACCACTTGGTGATACTTCAGGGTTCAAAGAAGGGAAGTATATCCACACTAATCTCTTTCACTCTTTCGCCCCAGAGTATCTAACATTTGAACTGGCATCTTTTCTGCACATCTTGATCACTCTGTGGCCTCTTTTTGATGGCTTTTTCATCTTTTGCAGCTCCCGTAATAATAGGTAGTGAACAGCTGGGCTAACCTAAATGCCACAGCTTGTGCTGAAACAGTAATGGTTTCCAACAAGATCTGATGACTTGAGAATTAAAAGCAGTGACGTTAATAATGGCAGGCATTCACTTTCTGGATTAAAAAAAAATAATCCACAGGGTCGTGTAATTCCATGAGAATGGCTGAAGATTATAGGTTATGTAATATAGTGTGTCATTGAATGCCAACAAATAAGGTTCACAAGCTTGTGGTGTTTACGTGGTAGATGCGAGCTTGGTAAATAGATATACAACAATTTGTCCCATGCAACAGGATCTCTGAAAGGAATTTATTTCTTATGGTTCCAAGCACAACATTCAGCCTACTGTTTCTGAGAAATTAAGGTATGGTAAAGCGGAACTTTTTCTCAGTTATCTTGGAGGAATAAAGATCAAGGGAACCGCTAATTTTAGCAACGAGCGTTAAATTAAAAAAAAAAGAAGTGGTTTGAGTCATATAGCATTTAAAATGGAGGTGCTTTGGAGCTTTACTTTTTATGTCAGAGTATATACATCAAATTACTATAAGCTGCTCTTCAATGGACTTTGAATTCTTTGTGCTGCTCGACTTGAATGCAGAAAGTCTTGTAACATTTTTTGTTACCCAAATGCTTCTCAGTACAAACAGACTGAATTAATTTAAGGACTAAAGATGAAAAGGTGGAACAGCTCAGCTCAGGCCCCCATTTTGCTGAATATCTTTTCCGAGTGCTACACCTAAGAACTGTATAGTTTCATTAGTGTAACAAGGTTTTTTTTCCTCTTTAAGTTGGACATGCTTAAACAAAACAACCTGAAGAATGAAGAGGAACTTAGTAAATCAAAAGAGCTTCTAAATCTGGAGAACAAGAAAGTGGAAGAACTTAGAAAAGAATTGTAAGTATTTCAATGTTAAATCTGTTAAACCATTACTCTGTAGCTACATTTACTTTTCTTTTCTTTTCTTTCCTTTTTTTTTTTTTTTTTTTTTTTAATTGTCTTTTGGTACCTCTGCGGTATGCTCACTTCTAAAGCAGATATTAGGTCAAAATTAAATACTAGTTTGGCATCTGTAAAACTTGAAATCAGAATGTTGCTCCTGAATTGCTGAAGGGTGTTGAAGCAAATCCTTCACTCCAAGCATTGTTTGGAATCATTTGTTTGTTGGGGGAAGTACAGAGTTCTGCCTCCTGAGGGCGCTGGGTTATTGTAAAAGCTTTGTTACAAAGAAATTCGGTTTGGATTTAATTACAGGTACACTTGGAGTGTTAAGTAGTTTTAAGTGGCTTCGTTTATAGAAAATCTGGTTCTGCTTATATTTTTCATTGATGGCTTTATCCAGTTTATTCCTGTTGCCCCACTATGCATTTATTTTCTAACCGGTACAATACAAATGCTATATATAATATGTAATATGTATAATAGAGTTAATTGCTTATCATTTGAGATTCTTCATTTGAGAAACTACCTCTTACGTACTACGAACTAATGACGTGTAACATAGTACACAAACAAATGAACTGCAAAGCATCTGATATAAAGTAATTTGCCCTGTAGAATCTAATTTTATCAAAGCTTTTGGTGTGCCACTGTGAATAAAAATCCTAGTTATTGCTACCCTGCAGTGGCTGCATGTCCCCCAACTTTCAGAGATGTAATGCATGAAATCACAAATCTCTGTTCCCACTCGCACTCCAAGAAGAATTTCTTGACTCGTGGAGTGAGAGCTGGAATCTGGACTGAAAGCTGAGAGCAGCTTTGACTAATTATTATTCTTGTTAGTTCCGTAAGTCATTTTGTGACAGCTCGTACCCACTGCTCGGAGGTGAAGACAGGGCACAAAGGAAATCGGCACACAGAATTAATACGCAGTTTCTGTATGACTGACAGGTTTTGCTGCTTGCTTTTAAAAACCTACATGCTTGTATAGACAGCAGCCTCCTCTAAGAAAGGCAGGATTTCATTCCATGAGCAATTCCTACCTGCCTCAGTGCTTGTGGGAAATGCCAATGCAAAATAATTATTTCCAGACTAGTTGCTCTAATGCTAGAGCAGCAAGGGGCTAGTATGCTCTGGTATCATGGAAAGACAAAATATATTAGACAGTAATTTGTCAAGCAGAAGTTATTTATAGAAGATACTGCCTTGAAAATCTTCAGCACTGAAAGGTGTTCTCATGATCCTGATCATTTTGTGGGTTTGGGTTTTTTTGTTATTTTTTTTTTCTTAAGGTTAATCTTAGTCGTAGATTATTGCTGAATGTGGTCTCTAATTATCAGTGGTACGAGACATTGTGGATAAGGGGAAGCTTGTCAGTTGGTTTGTAATTGATCTTTGTTGTCATAATTATTTTGCTTGTTCCCTTGCTTTAATTAGAATAAGGAATGAGCTTGATAATAAGCATTTCTTGATCAGCAGTAATGTGGGTAGGGAGAACACCTTTGAGAGGTCAGTTGATGAAGGTAGTGCCCTTGCCTTTGTGAAGGAGAGTAGAGGGAAAATTTTGACCCCAGGAGCTGTGACTGTAGGTAGGGACATGCTGTTGCCTCGAAAGCAGTGCCTCTTGGAGGTGGGAGGATGTCCCAGTGACATCGCCGTGCTTTGTAAAAGAGCCTTCCCTGTAAAACTGGGATGAAGAAAAGCAGAAATACTGGCTGGATGTTGTGTACTCGTTTAGTACTGCATACTGTCAGGGGCACTTGCGGCTATCAGATTAAAGTTCCTTGGCACTAAACACAGGGGAGCATTTCACACAAATTGACCCCAGTATTCTGTGTGCTTTTTTTGTAATGTCCTGAATCTACGCTTTAATGCCAAAAGCAAAAAGAGAACTGGTTAGTACTGCAGTTCAGCAAACAGTCATGGTTAAAAATAGGTATGTTCCTGCATCAGCAAGTAGATTCATACCAAGATAATTTGAATTAATGTTCAGTGATGTGAGCTAGCCTGTTTAATCCAGTCTAGGTGGATCGAGTTGGAAATCGGTCAAGGTGAGAGCAGATAGAAGAAATGGTTGGAAAATCTTAGTCGTACCACATGCTGAACTCGAAAAGTAAATCAGACTTCCTTTTGTTTAAATGTGCCCAGTAATAGACCATAGAGTCCTTGTATTTTGAAGTGCTTGAATAAGTTTCTGACTTAGGAGTTCTTCTATGTCCCACAGTCATAAAAGTAATTTTAATATTCCAGTCAGGGTTTAACTCTGTGTAATATTGGCACATAGGAGTTCTGAGACTCCTTTTTATGAAAACAAAATACAGTCATAAAAATTACTGCTTAATGAAATGGAGTGTATCTCTTTTATTTTTGTAAGACATTAAATCATATAAAAACTTGTGTTAGTCCTTGGTGTTACAGGTGGCCATGCAAAATATTTTTTTCCAACAATTTGTTGAAAATAAACTTACTTTAAGGAAACCACACCTATTAGTAGCAGCATAGGCTAATGAAACCTGCAAACCCATTTTTTTCTTCAGCTTTTGTTTTGTCTCATTTTCGGTTTTGTATCTGTTAAAATAATGGAATAGATTAGATTCTTTCCTGTTTTGCCTCCTGTGATCTTGCACATTCATGTATGTTTGGATGTCAGACCTTGTAGGAAGTATTTAAAGAAGTGGAACGGTAAGCTTTTTTCTCATGTTTTACCTCTTGCTACAAAGTTCACTTCTGAGAAAGTCTAGGCTATAAACCTTGCCAATGCTCTTGTCAAACCCTCCCCTGCATTTCTAAATCCAAGCACTTGCTAACTGTTGGAAGCACGCAGAACTAGCAGGCTGAACTTACCTTCCATT